AAGCCACGTAAATATAGGGAGAACAAACGTAGTGAATAAGACACGCCTAAAATAGTTACTCGTCGAACCAAAGACACGACAGGAACCAATTATAGCCATCTGTTTCCTAATCTTAGCTTTAGTCTTAGCAATCATGCAACCCCAACCTAATCTTGTTATAACCCAATACCCTAAGTACTTAAAGATATTACTCCAATTAATTTTATAACCATCACATAATATGTCAAATTTAGGCTTGTCCAGTGCACGTGCTGACCATAACAACTCTGTCTTTTTATAGTTAATAGGTGGTATAGCTAAGTTTGCATAGAATTCTAGTTGCTGAAAGAAATCAGTAACCCTTTTTTCCAGATCAATACATTGTGCAGTGAATTTCACGCCTATCATACCCGCTACAACGCCAGCTAAATCATCCGCAAAATTATTTTGCAAACTCTTGATAAGAAAAGTCCATAGGTCTGAATGATAGGTTATAAACAGAGTAGGAGAGAAGCATGATCCTTGGGGAGCCCCTCTTTCAGTATGAAAATATCTTGATCGCGTTCCATTCATTTCGATAAAGGCTACTCGTCCTTCAGGCCAAAACTTAATCCACGCGACATACGCTTTAGGAATACCCAGGCTATCCAGTTTTCCTAGGCAGTCAATCCACCACAATTGGTCAAAAGCTGCCTTAAAATCAACAAAAATAGTACAAACGGGAGAACTATTACTCATATAGGAATAAATTTGGTCTAGCATAGATAGCACTCTAGTTTGAAGACGAAAACCTGGTCTAAATCCCGACTGAGAATTATCTAAAATGCCGCGATTCTTCAGAATCTTTTGAACCTTACCAAAAACAACTGCTCTAAGACCTTTAAAAAAACATCTAACAATGAGTTCGGGCGAGTGTCAGCTACTGAACAAATCGATTCTTTTTTGGCAAGTAGTTTCATTCTCACAGTTTTCCAATAAGAGGGACCCACCAAGGTTGACAATGACAAATTGAAAACTCTCAAAAGGCCAGTTCAATAGATAGTAGGCAAAAATTGGAAGATAAAAGTCGAAATTCCTTGAGCATCGCAAGACAATTTCTTTTTCCTACTTTTAACGACTTTAAGAAGTTCTTTTAGAGTAATACATGGTATATTATCATCAGTATTATCCCAGACAACTCTCGGGGCGAGATCTAACTACCTCTTGTTTTTCAAATAATTTTTCGTATAATCTGTTACCCTCTCTAACATCTCGTCAGTTTCCCTAAACACTACTCCGTTCTCATCGGAAAAACCTTTCAAAGAGGGTGAGGCTTTAAAGTTGCGTTTAATTTTAGACCAAAACGACACTGATACTTTCGAATCCGAAAATCTTTCTTTTAAAGATCGCTCTAGATGTTTAGACAAAAATAAACGGAGTTCAATTCTGGCCTCTTTCTTAAGTTGTTTGGCTTTAATTTTTATATTTAAATCTCCTGTTCTTTTACCTTTAAGTGATAGCGCTCGCATATGGAATAACTTTTTTCTTAGCTCTGTTGATAAAGCAACGCGGTATTTATCCAAAGGAAAATAGGGAGTGCAACGAGCTTGTAACAATGATAAAAAGGAGACAAAATGAGAATATCCATCCTCGACTGATGAAATCTTCCAGTACTCTTCCCAGAAATCAGCCACAAATGACAAAAAATAATTATAAACTTTCCAATGGACTTTAGTATCTAAACTCCTCTCCCTTCTCTCACAAGATAGAATCACTAATACGGGTAGATGATCACTAGTAGTGCCAACTTCACAAGTTTGCACTGCACCTGGAATTCCTTTGACAAATACATAGTCTATTTTCCTCTCTGACCTTGAGGAGGTAGGAATATCTGGTATTTCTGCTGCTAAACAACATCTATCTGCCCAATCAATAAGCATTTCAACACCCTTATCTTTTGAATCCTCCATATCAACGTTGAAGTCACCCAAAACACAACAATTTGATGAAATAAAAGGTGAGAGGTCTTCCCATCTCCACGTTTTACTTTCTGGAGCGTAAACTGCTACTAACCTAATATCCTGATCAAGTGAAACATCTATCACACAGACATTAGGTATATCACACTGTACACGCTTACAGTTGATGAGTGTTCGATGAACAATGATCACACCACCCCAACTATTTTCACCCGCTTGATAAAAGAATTTATAGTTCGCAAATATGGTTGAAAGAAAATTAAGATCGATCGAGCCAACTTCAACTAAGATCAAAAAATCCACCTTATACTTATCAAAATAAAGAAGAACCTCATGCCACCGTTCCGATAGCCCTCTCACATTAAACAAAAGAACATTCAAATCCGCAAACATAGATGACGTATTATCCTTCACATATGATTTCCAATATAAAAAGCAACTCAATAGGGTGGGAAACGAGGACCATTCCTTTACAATATTAGTCAGAAGAGAAAGATCATTTTTCGATAAAAAAGGCTTAGTGAGGGAGAGCGCCAGATACATATCGAACCTACGCTTATCCTGATATACACTAGGGAAAAACTCAGGCGCAAAAGGAGATAACGTCATTGTACAAACATTTGATCATCATTCGATAGTGTCTTTAGTAACTTGGATCGTTGTGCGTTACATACCATATATTGATCTTGCAATTTCGTATGATGATCAGTTAATTGCTTAATTTTGACCCAAACTACATTATCTTTTATTATATTCGTTTGTTGTAGCGCGCTTGCTAATTCCACAAATCGTAGAAACATAGGTTCAATAAGATCATTTATATAATTTTGGTGAAAATTTACATTGATCTCGTTGATAGCCAGCTTTTTATTTATTTTCATTATTTCATTATTGCAAAATGTAACACATTTTTGTTGATCACTCTGCTGTTGAAGGATTATCTGTTGCTGTTCCTGAATAAGAACTTGTTGTTCACTAATTTGTTGTTGCATATCGGCAATTTTAACTATCAAAATTTCCATGCTATTAACTTTTTGTGCCAGACTGTTTAAATTATCATTATGTGGTGTTTGATTCCATACCTTAGGTGCAGTGCTACTTGGTCCCAATTTTGGAAACTCGTTATCATTTCGATTAAACTGATTCATTTGTTTATTTGATTTAAATACTGACAGCATAGTTTTGGTTAATGCTACCCGATACGATATAATTGATGGGCATCTACCATCATTTGAAACATGGGAACCTTGACCTCTGACACATTTACTAACTCCAGAGCATCCAACATTCTCACGATGTAGTTCCAAATCTTGAAAAGCCAATCCACACACTTTACAAACAGGTAAATCTTGTTTACATTCCCTTTTGAAGTGTCCAATCCCAAAACTTTTACTGGTGCTATATACTCGCTAACTCGGTATCGCACATAATCTATATACATATATCGAGCTTGTACCAGATCATTAAGAGTTTTAACACTCTTAATATCAATGCGTACTAACTTTGTTGGCTTTTTTTCCTTATTATTCATTCGAAAAGCATTGTCAATATCAGGATAAACCAATTGCATCTCATTTAACAGTTCGTCAATATTTTTGCTTAACGAGACATCATGTATCACTAACGAAAATTGTGGTGGAAGTCGACGCGGTAACGTTTTCTTATAATTCAGGTCACCAAGAGTCACCGGCCATTTTTCTGCATCAAACAAGCAGATGAATGATTCACGATTTTTAACAAAGAATATCATTTCTTGACGATAATTAGTTTTAATACCTTCAAACTCCAGTTTAATGTTAAGCTTATTCGCATAATACAGACATAACTCGTCCTTAATTTTATCAACTTGAGAATGCCCATCTAGTACTACTATAAATGGGGGAAACGCATATCTTGTCTCCGCATAACGAACAGCATGGCTAGATATATCTTCATCTCTGTCTTGACTACCTTGAATACCAGTATTAACTTGTAATACCGATCGTTCCACATCCAATCTAGGTAAGTTAGAAGTTGTCGACACCGGAATGGTAACCACATTTATTCCTGAAGCCATCTGAGCAGATTTTTTCTGCCTCTTATTCGTACGCTCCCCCGACAATCCATCTTTGCTCATATCATCATCAGAATACTTCCTTCCGTTATCTTCGATATCAGACGTGGCATTTACTTGTTGAGGTTTCATAAATGTCTGCATACTCTGACTTAATTGATTTGTTACTGTAGCATGTGGTTGTTGAGTTAATTGCTATATCCAGGGACGGTGCAAAGCATGTGTTTGTAGGTGATTAACATTAGACATGGCTTGACTGTGATAACCCAAATTATAATGATTTGAAGTAAGAAACTGTTTTTGATGAAATTGAGGGTACGTCAAAAACGGTGGTGAACCACTTAAATAAGAAGCACCACTCTGATCTACATTATGTGCACTATTATTATAAAACATCGTTGAATCGTTTCCATAGACCAGATTAAGAGCATTACCCACCATTTCAGATGTTACGGGCTGTCGAAGACCCAACATTTATCGACAAAAATGTGAGGACACGCGTTGAAAAACGTGTCTCTTAAAAACTAGACGATAGAAAATATAAATTTACTATATGTATACACTATAGAAGTATATATATATGCCTATAACAGTACGTCTTAACTGTACAGAGTTGACGAGGAGGAATGACTTTTACAGTTTATTCTACTCTGACACTATTTAGACTTTCCTGTAAGAGAAATTATTGTGTTTTTCTGTAGAATAAAATAAGCAAAGAACAAAGTTTATATTTTCATCAAACGTTCATGTCTTGTATATTCAAGGAGGAAAGTGCTTACAGTAAACTTATTTTGTATTGTGCCAACTTCGCGAACTAAAATTACATTAATTTGAAAAGTCCCATTCCATCTCTTCTACTAGTTTAAAACACACAAGTTATACACGATACTAATTTTTTTTTTAAAAAAGGATTCCTTTTAGTTTTTGAGATATATGGCTGTGAATATCGTTTGAAGCAGCAAGTTTTTGCAGTGACTTTCGAAATGTAATTTCCTTCCAAATTTTGAGTATGCCACCTTGATTTATGTATGAGTAAGAAGTCAGTCTTAGTGTTATACAACACAGCGCCACGTATTTACACATGCGTTAACCCATTTTATTATTACAAACTGTTAAACATGAATACAGCCGAAGTACAGAGAGAACGGCAAGAATTTTGAAATGCTCCCTTATCGTACAGCAGGGGTATCTATTCTGTAAGTTATCGTTCTTTGTTCGATTGTGACTGTCCCAGTAATAAGAGTATACTCAGAGTATGATCTCGATATGACAGACATTTTTTGTAGCTATAGCTACAAAAAATCTCAGTCATATCCATTCTCACTTTAGAAATAGCGAAACAAAGAATGATTCATTGTAAAATACCGGAAAAAACACTAAATTTTGTAACAGAACTATTATCGGAGTGGTTTTCTAGTAGCACATTAGATAATATTCTGCGGGAATGGGAATCGTTGGGGACAAGAAATAGTCGCTCATTTCCAAGTCAACATATTCCCTTAAATTTTCTTGTATTCAACGTACAAGGATGGGGTACTCGTTCACTGGAGGTAGTCGACTTAATTCACAGTAAGGATGTCTCTTTTTGTGTTTGCACAGAAGTAGGAGAGCTTTGGAAGAGTTTTAAAGTACCAGATTTTGTTACGTTCCACCAAGAAGGTATTAATCATAGTGGCGGAGTTTGTGTAATAGTTGGAAAACATTTAAAAGCAACTAGAGTCGAAACAAATATTAAAAATACAGTAATTGTGGATATAGTGGGTCTATCTGAACCCATTCGAGTGATCGGTATTTATTGGCCACACAGCCAAAAACGAGATTTAAATGATCTTTGTCCATATCTAATTAAAAATACGATAATATCCGGAGATTTTAATGCGACAGTAGTGGGCTGGGGAAAGAACCAAATAACGGACACTCGGGGACAAACTCTACAAAAATGGATTCAGAATAATAATTTTTCATTCATCCCAGGTACTTTTAACTCTTCTCGTAGATCTGAACGTAACATTGACCTATCTTTTTCGAATTTTCCGGGAGTATTGGGTGAAACCTTAAGAGCAGGAACGAGTGATCACTGGCCTCTAGTTTATACATCGACATATATTAGTTTTGAAATTTCGTCGCAGTTTCCAATAGTTAAATGAAAAGAATACGAAATTATTTTATGTCTTCTTCAAGACTTTTGGATGGTAGAACTAAAAAAGTCCTCGCCCCTTGAGTGGTACAAAGACTATACCCGATTTTTGGTAGCCTTAAAAAATAGAGTGACATTTTATTTAGCAAAACAGAAGTTGAGACCGGCATTACCTAATCTTATACTGGAAAAATTAAAATTGGTTAGAAAATTTCGAAACTTGTATTACCGGAATAGATATGAAAGAGACAGAATAATACTTCGACAGTTATCTAGGGAAGTAAAAAATGAAATTTACAAGTATAGATCTGATAGGTGGAATACGTTTCTTAGTTCAATCCAAAAATACCGCGAAAAAAAAAGATGAATCATCATTTTGGTCTCATCTCGCTCGCATATATCGCTCAAAAGCCATTCCCTTCTCAAAATTGTTGGTAAATAAAGAGGTAGTTTCGGATCTTGCAGAAATATCTGATGAAATGTATAAATACTATAAAGAACAATTTAAAGAAGTCAAAA